AGTCCCGAAGGCCAGAAAGGGGCGGGGGGGGGGGGGGCCTGAGCTGGGCCTGACAGCCAAAGGCTGCCTGAAGACGGAGACGGTTGCTGTAAACCAGGCGCCTCCATCCTGAGCCACTTGGCGCCTTGTTATGCTGAGGAATTCTGGGAGTTGAAGTCCAGAAGCCACCCGGGGGCCGAGGGTGGAGGCTGGTGCTTTAAACAGCTGGTGCCTCCTGGGGAGACGCCCGGTTTTCAGGCCTGCAATCGGAGAGAGGAGAGGGGCACGGGTGGCCCCACCGAGCGCTGCCCGGCTGCCCAAGCGGCACCCCAGCTGAGCACCGCTGCTGCCCTTCTCCCCGCAGGTGCTGGGCCCCAACCACCCAGATGTGGCCAAGCAGCTCAACAACCTGGCCCTCCTGTGCCAAAACCAGGGCAAGTTCGAAGAGGTGGAGCGGTATTACCAGCGGGCCCTTCGCATCTACCAGGCCCAGCCGGGCCCCGGCGACTGCAATGTGGCCAAGACCAAGAACAACCTGGTAGCCTTGGGGGGGGCAGAGGGTGGGGGCTGGGAGCTTCTCCCGGGGCTTTGAGGGCGGCTGCTGGCTCAGCGGTTCAGCCGGGGTGAATTTCTTGGGCTGAAGCGTCTTTCAGGGAGGGCAACCGATGCCAATGACGAGGCTCCCACGGACCCATAAGCCAGGATCTGTTTCAACCCTGGGGTCCCAGTGGACGGATCTCTCCCCCCCCCACGACAGAATTACAAGCATCCTCCCCAAAGCGGTGGCTCTATTCCTGGGGTGGATGCCTAGTTTTCCCTTTGGGGGGGGGTTGGTCCTTGGGGGGACTGGTTGCTGTCCTCCTGGGGGTCGTGTATTGGAGGAGGGGAGGGGCTCACCGCCCCGTGCCCCCCTCCCTCTCTCCGGCCAGGCCTCGTGTTTCGTGAAACAGGGCAAGTTCCAGGAGGCTGAGCAGCTGTACAAGGAGATCCTGTCCCTGCAGGACCAGGAGCCGAGCCCCCCCAGGGGCGGTAAGAGCAGCCCTTTCCCATGGGTGGGGGGGGGAGGCGCCAGGGTCCTCAGCATCTGGACTCACCCCTTGGGACCCCCTCCCCTCTCCTTCAGATTATGGCTGGACAGGAGCTGGCAACACCTGGGAAGGACAGGTGAGTCCTGGACGCTTCTCCCGCAAGCAGCTTTGGAGAGCTGGGGAGGGATGATGAGCCGGGGGGGGGCACAGAGGAGAAAATCTTTTAAGCCGCTTCACCCTGGCACCACGGCCTCCCCCAGGCCTTCTCAGCTGAGCCGACAGAGAGGCAGGTGAAGAGGCTANCCCCCCCGTGTGTCTCAAGCTTGGCCACTTTAAGCGATGTGGACTTCAACTCCCAGAATTCCCCCAGCCAGCTTTCTGGGAGTTGAAGTCCCCGTGGCTTAAAGTGGCCACGCCTGAGAAATACGGCCCCAGGCTTTCCAAGAGGGATGGGAACCAGCCCCAGATGCCAAATGCCGACTCCCATCCTGATCAGATCCCAACGGGGCTCCTCATCCCGTAGCTTGGAGGGCCACGTTCCACCCACTCCCCATCCAGGGGCTTGGCTGGCACTTCCTTGCTGGGAACCGGGCACCCTGTCTGACGTCAGCAACCGCTGGATCAGCTCACCCGGAGGAATTCTATCGCAGGCGACTGTGGGGGGGGAGGCGAGGGGAGCTTATTTTTAGAGCCCTCCTCTCCAACCGCAGCTGTCTCTGGTTTCACACCAAAGAGAGGAAGGAAAAAGCAGGGCTGCCCACCACCCTCTCTGCCCGGAGGCTCTTGGAGAGCCCCAATTTTTGTAGCCAGCTCCCCACAGCCGTCTGTTGCTTGGGTGCGAAGGGAGGGCAGAGGGTAGAAGGAGGGGGGCAGCTGGGGCTGATTTGGGGCTCAAGGCTGGGCATTGCAAGCCCCCTGCAAGTGAGAGGCCTTGATACCTCCAGAAAGGGAAGAGGTCATGCCAGGCCAGTCCCTCCCCTCAGGGTTACCCCTTGGCTGGGCACGGCAGACCCTGGACAGGCTTTGGAGCAGGGCAGTGCCAAGAATGGTCCTGATCCCATGAATTGGGAGGAAGGTTGACTCTTCCAGATCAGACCAGACCAGGATTTATTGTGGCCCCATCTTCTCTTGGGGGGGACGACAAGAGGTTCCTGGGAAAACAGCACGCTGGACATGGAAGCCATGGTCAAGAGTCACCAACCTCCCTGCCCGGATGCCAGCAGCCACGTGGCCTCTGGCGATGACACAATTATTTCCACTGAGTTAAGATTCTTTGTTTCCTTCAATTGACGGGCTGCCCGCCTCCAGTTGGGTCTCTTGCCCGTTGCTCCGGGGGGGGGGGGCAGTTTAGGACTCTTGACAGACTCTTCTGCCAAATAACAGCAACGCCAAAACTCGCTTTTGTAGAAATGAGAAGCAGACACACTGGA